AAAATAAGTTTAAAGGTAAGATTATGTATAAATGTATGTTATTTAAGCTTTAAATTTTAGTTTTGTTGGCTGTCAGGGTTTTAAAATTTGTGTTTTGGGTTGTTTGATGAATTAATATAAATATTATGGGTTGATTGTTATGGCTAATGAATTGTTTAGTTGATTTTGAAAAATTATAGGTAAAGATGATGATTTTGAGTTTTGATTTGTGAAAATAGAGAATTTTGTGTTAGGAATATTGAAAGAGCAGTAGGTTTTCTATGAAAATTCTGGATTTGAGGTTAAAGATGAAAAATTTTTGGTTTGGTCCCTCAATTTATGAAAAGTACAGTTTAATCCCCAAACTTTAGAAAAATTACAGATTGGTCCCTGGAGCATATTCCAATATTTTGAACAGAATAAAGGATGAATTATGGGTAGAATTCCAGTATAGTTATGAGTTCTTAACAATTTCAATTTGGTCCTTTCATTTCACAAAAATTATAATTTGACCCTAAAAATTTGGAAAAAAATTCAAAATGGTCCCTGGAGCATAATTAGAGATTCTATACTGAAATGAGGATGAATTATGGACATAATTACACTATATTTATGAATTTATGATATTTTTAGTTTGGTCCTCCAATTTAACAAAGTTACAATTTGACCCTTAAAAATATAATAAATTCCAGATTGATCCCTAGTTGTAATATTAGCTTTTGTAGATTGACTTGATGAATAATTGATGGTTATTTAGTGAATTATTTTCAAGTCTTATTATGTTTTATTATGGATTAGATTTTGGCAAAACTAGTTAATTTTTTAGTTTTTAGGAAAAATAACTAGTTTAGTTTAAAAACATATAGGGTTATGGAATAGATCCTTAGTAAAGTGTATTAAATAGGTTGTATGTTCTTTCAAGTTGTTTTTGAACATGTCTCTTTTGTATTCAAACAATCCTGATATTCTACTAGCGGAACATTAGTAGGATTTCCTTTGGTATTTGCTTTTGAATGCTATTTACTTTCGAGTCAGGTGAGTAGATAATTTTTTATATGTATGAAAAATATTATAAATATTTAATTTGTTAATATGAAATGGATCATGCTTCTTGATAATATATATGTTGATTATTATAATTGTTGTAACCCATTTTTGGGTCCCCGCGTAAAATATATATATGTATATAGAAAAATAAGAAAATAAAAAATAATTAAAAATAATAATAGTAATAACTAATTTAAAAAAAATAACAGTAAAAAAAAAAGAAAAGAAAAAAAAGAAAAAAAAAGGGATGTCAGAATGCTCAGAAAATGGTCAAAAAAATTAGTTGAGGAGGTTTACAATTACAAAGATTAAAATTTAGCAGTATTTTGTTAACTAATGAGAACCTTGTTGACAAAGAAAATTAATTTTAGGAAGAAAAATCCAAAATAAAATGTTTATGGATTCAATTAAATTTTAATAAAGGTTTAATTGAATTTATGGA